ACTTGGGACTTGAAAAGCAGAGAAAGACATCAAAACCAGCTGACAAATTCCAGTTTTTCCAGGCTTCATTCTTTTATGTATTACTCTTCATTTTTTTCATTTTCCATTAGAGGTATGAGATTGTTTATAAGAAGGTGTTCGGCAACACCCCACTGCTGCAGAAACATATGTATGTGCTTAACACGGCAAGCATTTCAGTGAACGATGGCAGGGCTGAGGTGGCAGCTCCCTTTCCACTTACCATGTTATTGGAACATCACATTTTTATTTTGTCCTCCCCATTCCTCATATCATCATTTGCCCCGCATATAGTACCTTCATCAGTCAAACAGTTGGACTCAGTGATCATCTGTGTAAGTTCCTTCTAGCTGAAATTATTTTCATCTGCTCCGACATCCTTTGATCTACCTGAGACAAAGCCAGCTGGACAGGGCCCAGGAAATGGGTCACCACAGGCAGTCATATCTTCTGCCCTTGGTCTGGCTGAACCAGACCAGCAGCCACCAAGCTGGCATCAACTCTACAGAGGGAAAGAAGAGATGGTGGAAGGTGAAGCTCCTAAACTGACTTTAGGGTGCCTTTATTAGCTGTCCCGTTACAGGAGGCTCCCATCACCAGACCCACATGGTAAAGGTAGAGCATAACGCCATCACCTACACCTGCAGATGAAGCTTCAGTTTACCAGTACTCACTGTACTGTCACTCTGCATGTCACTATCTCCTCCATGTCATCAGTCCTTTCCCTGAAAAGCTCCTTCACGGTCAGGACTTCTCTGCAGACAGTATCACATACCAGGAGACTAGGATGATGTAGATGCCAGGAATCAACAGGTTCAAGCATGCTTACCAGCATCCTGCCTTGTGCCCACTTTCCTGAACAGCAGCAGGACTAGTGACACCTATCTGCCTGCCAGTGCCTGCACTAACTTCCCCATCTATCTGCCCCACACTGTATCTAATGGGAAAAACTCCTGCAGAGACTGTTTCTCTAATGCTGAAAGCTGGCTGAGCAATATAAATATATATTCCCTCACAAATCTCACCAACCTGGTAAATTTTTTTCAGCTGTTCCCAGTATTTTTCTTTTGTCATGGAGGAAAATAGACACTTTATACTTCTCTTCCTTTTTTTTTTTTTTTTTTCCCCACAGAAAAATAGAAGTTGAAATACACACTGAAGAAAATACACAGTCAATTGTCTTTTGACAAAAACTAGGACATGCACTAGCCACGCAGCGTAGCAGGACCATGTGTAGCAGTAAGCAGAAACAATAACAAGATTTACATAGAAAGAGGCTGGGGGAGGAAACTGAAAATGCCAAAAATGCAACAGAAAACAGAAGAGTGTTCCCGAAAGGCAGACTGTGAAGCAGCAAGGTTGGATGCTTCAGGTCATTCTGTAAAAACTTACTCCCAGAACATAATTACCGCTCATTTATGAAATAAAATGAAAACTGTTCATAAAAAAAAAAGGATCAAACAAGTATAGACACTGTTCCCTTCCCTATGAGCCACAATTAATTTTCATAATTCAGTGTGTAATTTTATTGCTTTCACTAAGCCTGAAACCTAAATGAGCACACTTCCTCAAGAAAATAACTTAGATAGTGACAAAGCTGGCAGCACGTTTCTGTTTAACTACCACCACAGTAGTGGTCATCCAGACAACTGAACTTGGCCTCACAGCAATGCCCTTATAGCAAACTGAGAACCCTCAGCCGCTGCAGGTTCTGTGCCCCTGCGCATCCACACCCCCAGAAAATAGTCAGGGGATAAAAGCATGAGTGTACCAAAATTTGCAGAGAGGACGCTGTGCCCATGCCTGATGGACTGTAGAGGCTGCCAGTTCAGAAAAATGGCCCTAAGCTGACCCTGCTATGGGAGGCAAGGAGATATTCTCCATTCACTCTGGAGCATTTTTTCTCATCTCAATGGAACACTCCATCTTATTATTTTTTCTTTAATAAATATTAAAACAATTGGAAGATTCTCATTTTTTGACCTGCAACATGTTACTTGACTTAACTCTGACTAGCTTCATAAATGGAGTAATCCAATCTTCTGAAAGAAAATAGCCATTATGAAGGTGCCAATAGCAAATAAGCAGCTTCTCCCTCCTTCTCCTCCCTCCTCCCTCTCCCCTTTCCTCAAACCCACCAAGGAGTGCCCAACCACACACCGCTATCAGTTCCTCAGTTTCTCTGGCAGCACGCTGTCTGTGGGCAGGTGGTAGGACTGTCAGGCCCACTTCCATGAGCAGGTAGCTCCTGACACCACTGTCAAATAGGAACTTATGACAAGTCAGAATTACCAGAAGTTTCATGCCCTCTTGTTTTCTTTGTCGAACTTTAAATAATGTGGATAACAAGTCCAGACCTGTGCAACGGCACTAAATTCCTGAATTATTTGTGATGCTCCCTAGACAATCCAGTCTCTCTGTATCTGGTCCTTTTTATGCCTTATTAAGGAAATACAATCACTTTTTCCAGATACCAAAACTCTTATGAATAAATTATTCTTCTATCTTTCCATACATCTCTTAATCCTCATAAAAATGAAACAGGTCCAAAAACACCAGATGGTACAACAATTTCCTCAAACAGTATGTCATTCAGAAGTAATTTTTTGTAATAAAAATAGCCCAGTAGCTTTGAAAACTGAAAGAATCAACAGCAATTTAGTCTCATGGGCATGAGATCTGAGACAGTGATGGGCCGTGCCACCCAAAATCTATCAGAATATCAATTCTGAAAGAAATATCCAGACATCGTCAGGTGCCAAGACATTATGGAACGTTCAGGGCTAAAAGTTGTATGGGCTCCTGCTACTCTTCCAGCATGCACAGGGCTTGCTCAACCACATGCAACCCATGATTTTGGGACAAAAAAAGTGGGACAGGGACGGTGAGGATGTGCAACATGAGTCAGTGCTTCTAAGGCTCAGGTTAAAGGCTATGTCTCAGGCTATGAGACAAAGGAAAAATATGCTTTCAGAAAATAAAGGATTCAGGAGATGACAAAAGGTTATACAGACCAAAAAAGATGAACTGAATGACCAAACAGAAAAAATATTAATAATTATTTGAAAAGATCTATGCAGAGATTTTTGAAGTAAAATGCTGAATAATCAATTACTGAAGGTGAGATGCCCTCCTACCAAGTTGTCTGTATGCATACTGAGACAGCATCTTGTTTTATTTCTGTTCAGGGCCATAATCAGATATTTGTGCTACCCAGGCCACTCTTTCAAGAAATGCACTTTAAGAACCCTGCAGAAACATGGCCCAAAAGGCCAAGAGTTAAGACTTATTTTCCCTGGGTCTGGAAGACTCTCCACCAACTACCAGCATTACCACAGGCACAGCAAACTCATCCCAAAGGCCAGAATCCATTGTCCTGGTTCAGCCTCAGTCTTCTCTGTGGTACCAACATAATCCTACCACAGTATATTTACTGTGCTGCACAAATCCTGACCAAAAATTCCTGCTTCATTTATCAGCAATGAGTAAGGTATGAATGTCAACGTGACCCCTCAGTTAAACACACACTCCCCCAAGAGAGGTTGGAACGACCACTGAGTCAGCATGCTTTTAACAACTAGCATAACTAAAGGCTCAAAAATCATGCATCCATATATCATTTGCCCCGGCAGAGCTCTGTTTAGTACTGGCTGTACACCAGACCTACCATACACCCCATAGAAACTTCCCAGGTAGGCAGCTAGCTTTGCCTGAACGTCTCTAATTAGCTGTGGTATCCTGATGATACTTCTTGGCCAGACTTCAGGTCATTTTGATGAAAAGCTTAGCAAAGTATGTGAAAAACTACATCTGATTTCTTCAGGCTTTCAATCAAGGTCTTCATTGCTCCAACAGTCACTCCAGCCATTGAGCAATATGAACAAATATTTACTACACACCAAAATGAAACAAGTAAAGTCAATGTCAAGCCAATACTTTAGTGAGGCTCTGTATTTGTTTTTATATCTTTTGACAGAGCTGTTTACAGCAGACAGACAAAATCCATCCTTCTCCTGAGGAAGGTAGCAGATTTCAAGATACCTGTCATTAAGAATTAGGAAGATTTAAGACAGGAAAAAATACCTCACCCAAAGAAATGGGCTAAGCACTGTGTTTTTTAGTTCCCAAAAGCTTGCATCAATCTCTCTTTTACTTTGGCTCATATGGAAACTGTCTGTCTTCCAACTTCCAGCAATTTAAAGTACTAACAGGAAAACAGCCAAAAGTACCAAATTTTCAATGAAAAACATGTGTAGCCATCAAGTTTAACACTGTTTCCAACCTCAGCTATAAATCAGCTCAGTCTGCAAAAAAAATTATACTCTTCAGCAAAACCTAACTGCAGCCTGAAGTTTGCAATGAAACATAAAACGGAGCAAATTTCACCTGATTTTGTTACATTACAATAGCATTCCCTAATGTAGGGTTTCATTTATATTTTCCTTCCATTTCCTATAAAAAAAAAAAAGCCACAAAATTTGTTAAATGATATTCTGCCTCAGAATGATCAAAGTTGTAAAATAAAGGATAGATACTGACAGAACTGTGATAAACAATACATTTACTTTACATATGCAAAGACCTATAGCAACACATAATTCTGTTTTAGGGACGTGTATTTTGTCTCCTTTTTCTTTTCACAATTAAAACATATCACTTGATAGGAATAATGGTGGAGAAACTCCACTACTACAATTTTTGTTTATGTTTTTAAAACTGACAGCATTTAAACCTTGTAAAGGTGATGTCTATTCATAAGAAGAACTTCTTCCACAGTGAGTCAAGGTACAGAAATCTTCTAAAGAAACTGAGTTACAATATCTAGTATTATCCTTCTCAAACTTCTGGGCACAAATCTCTGACTACTACTCTCATACTTAATATTTTATCATCATAATCACAAAATAAAGCAGAAGGGCTGGGAACCTCTGCAGCAAGCCATCACTAGAAGCCTTCCAACTCAACAATAAATAAAATATTACCTCCATCATAGCAGCTTCCGAGGATGCTCCACGTTGATGGCAATTCTTCGTGAGCAATGGCCATCGTCAAATCAGTATCCAGGGACTGCAGATCTTTTACTGTTAGCCCAAATTTATCCAGTAGCACCTTGTGACTCGTGGCACTAACACATTCTGTGTGACTGACCAGAAAACGAGACAACTTGCAAGACAAGTTCTCCCTGTAAGTGACAGGACAGCTGCCAAGGGCCACAGGTGAGGATCCCCTTGCGTACATTAACACAGAGACAGAGACTGCTTCCTGGCATCCATGGCCTAAAATCACAACATAAAGTAATCATTAAAACTGTTATTGTTTAGGAAATACATTAGTTTTTCCTCCTTTTCAGTCCTCTCTGATAGACGATCAATAACATCTTCATTCTTCCCTACATCAACTTGTTTTAGGGCATCCACCAAACATTTTTTTGTGATCAGCTTGGATCTGAACAGCCAGGTTCCCTGGTTTACTGACAGTTCATTGTAAAGGCAGTTTTTCTAGGTGAAGGTTCTTCATCACAACAGAATATGAGATAACATGACAGAGGGAAATGCCACAAACAAAAACAGAAAAATTTTTGGTTAAGAATTATGAAAAACAAGATATCAATAAAATATATCACTGTAGCCCGCAACACAAACTCTAAGGAATTATCTATTTATTAACACCCTCACCCAGCATGCTCTTAACAAACGCATGGTTTGTACCGTAAACAGACTTGATTAAATGCTGTATCAACAGTCTAACTTACAATCAGGACCCTTAAAGCCCAAGGGAGTCTCCCACTCAAAAATCTTACATACGTCACACATCTTTCCTCCTTCTCTGCCATTTCATCAGGGACAGATATCACACATCTACAAGCAGCGCACACTGTACACACAGCTCCCACTGGAGAGGTAACCATGAGGTACTACGTGTGTAAACCTAGACATCACAAAACAGGCCCCAGAACTCTAAGTACTTAGGCAATCCTTTAGCTGCTGATGCCAGAACGTGCTTACCACATCTGGAGCTGTTTCTGAAATGCCACGCATTCTCTTATGTTTAATTTGGCCACTATAAAACACCAACTATACTAGGGATATACTTTAACCTCTTCATTTTCATCTGCTGATGGCTTCTGTTGAGATCAGGCAGAGGATTAAGCACTGTCTTTTGCTTCTTGTTTTTATTTCTACCTGAGAAGTAATCATGTGGCAGTGCCATTTCAGGCCTTTCAAAAAAATGGCTTTGCTACCCTTTGAGCACCTAGCACTGTATTTTCCATCAGATAACATCTACTACTTACCAACTCAAGCAACCACCACATATCTGCGGCAAACGTTTCCTTTTTGTATTAGTTACTAGATAGTGTGCCAGTTACTTTCACACTCTGAATCTCCCTTAGAAAACAAGGACAAACAACAAGCAGAGCCTACACGTAAGTACACTACGTTTATAGCCACCTACTCCCACAAACAGGACACAAAGCAAGTAGTAAAGACAATAGCCAGGGTTTACACCACACCAACAAGGGGGACAATGCCAAGGCAGACCTGGCTGTGAGGGAACCCACATCCCCCTCTCGCAGCAAGGCACCCCTGGGCAATTCTCTCCATGGCTCCATAGAGCTTCAAGAACCTGGGCAGCTGCCAGGTGAGCCCTGCAAGCCAGGCTGACTGCTGCCGCAAAAGAAAGCACAGACTTCTGCAGTGATGGCAAAATGGCAAGAGGCAAACTATAGGCTGGATTTGTCAAATAGAATTAAGTAAGTCACACTAAAAATTATGCCATGCCTGAAAATGCACCTTCATGCATACCCAACCATCTTTGCTCCCATCTTTGCCTGACACCATGTCAGAGCAGACAACTATGAATGGCAGCACCACCTGCAGCCACTCAAACACAGCCTGCATCCAGTGGGCCATCGCTCAGTTCCTACATTCACTATAAAGCCATAAAACACATTTACTCAAAACATCCAGTTGTACCCAGCTTTGGAAGGGGGCTGGGGTATTGCTAAGACATGAAACACAAATAGCGCTCACCTGGAACAAGGGACTGAAGAGCATTGTCACCAATACGCTCAGCAAACATTATGTGCCTCTTCATGGATCCATCATAAATGAAGTAGAACTCAGCATCTTCCGGGAGGTGAATGCCTTTGTCAAATTTTGCACTTATAGTCACCTGTCCCTGAAAAATGAATTAGCTTTCATAAACATCCAGGAACTTTCCCATCTCCAACAAATCCATGATTATATTCTCCTGTTGCAATCTTATCACAACGTCTTCAGCAGTACTACACAGAACCTGCAGTTTTTTACTTCCACTTTGAAAATAACACTGTTTTTATGCCTGTACAAGCAGAAGTGATGTAAAAATTTGCCTTAAACAATGTCTTTTACCCAATTCCTTTCATCTTGATCTATGCAAATATATGTGAATCTTAATTAAAAATTCCTCAGAGCAAGCAAATCAATGTGTCTGAGTATTTTGCTATTTACAAAAGCATCCTTTGTGTTAAAAAAAAAGAATTAAAGAATTAAAATCAGAAGTGCTTGAAATACTTTAGACTTGAATTACAAAAACAATAGTACTGATGTAATTCTACCAATGGTAGTTCCCAGTTGCCCAAGTGTGTTGTTTTTCGATATTTTGTTTTCTTTAGAGTAAATAGAGCAACAGCCAAGAAAAACCTGTCATACAATGGCTTCAAAAAAAAAAAAAAAAAAAAAAAAAAAAGCAGGAAAAGGATCTGAGAAGCACCAAACAATAAGAAGTGTCTGACATGTCTACAGGAGGAAATTCAGATGAAGCCGTATTTCCTCGAGGTGGAGGACAGCTTGCTTCAACACTGCTCCTGACTGCCACGGTTGGTCCATAACTGTCTGAACAGGAGCTTTCCAGAAAACATAATGCAGAAGACTATTTCACCCTTTTTTTCTTCCAAACTATGCCACCCCTACTCTATGCAGTTACCACAGAATGAACTCTATCGCCCACAAAGAGCAGCGTGCTAGAAGTCAGCATCAAAGCACACTGGGCACCATAGAATTTCCATGGCTGAAAGGCACAGTTACAGCCGACTGCTCTGAAAGGCACCAGGCTCCTTCCCGCATTCATTATACAACAAATGAGTCTCTTTGCTCAAACATGCTGAATAACTTCTCATGGCTTTGGAAAAAGAAGCACTCGGCTGTTTCATCATCCCCATAGCCACCAGTGCAGCAGTGCACAGTACTTCCCATGGTCTGCGTGCTCACCTCTCTGCAGCGAGACCGTGGTGTCCCCTGAAACACCTCATCTTCAACCACGTTTCCTAAGGATTCTCCCTTGTCACTCCAAACAACACTAATCCTGATTTTTTTTTCCTTTACATTACGAATGACTGTATGGGGCTGAAGTGGCAGAAATGACTTTCAGACACACAAAATCTTCCTTAAATAGGACTGTTCTTGCAAGGTTCAATGCATACCACTTTCAGCGCTGCATGCTGAAAGCAAATATGCCTGTCATCCCAGAATCTGACATGCATCTCTTTTCAGCCTGAAGTGCTACTATAACTGCCAAGCATTTTCTCCTAATTCTTTTTGGTTTTTAAGCTGTTATACACATAATTGCTTCTCTTACTTCTACTAATATTTGTAATTTACCATCCTTTTTAAAAATTATTTCATTTTTTTATGTTAGGTGCAATCAGCCTTTTTTATCAGTTGAATAATACCCTGGATGGCTACTGTAGGAATATAGAAACAGAATAAATCCCAGACATAACTCAGGTTGGGTTGCACCAAGGATTACTCCAGTATGAGCTCTGCTGTGAGCAGCCTGGTGCACAGGAGCACACTGCTTTCTTCCACTTGGACCATCACATACAGACCACCTCTGCATCCACTTGCAGAACTAGTCAGCTGTCACACTGCACCAATTGCAAGCAATAAGGGAAATATTCTGTGGCAGCATTTCTCATTTTATGAGTCTTTTCTTTAAATTAAAAAAAAAAAAATCAAGCTCAAATTGAAGCTGTTGTCTTACAGTGATCCTTAAAATAAAAAATGTCAATTTAGACTCAATAGAGAGAGAGGAATGCTTAAGAAACACTAATCATACTGCTTACTATTTACAGTTTCACAACTCCATATCTTACGAAGTGTGGAGGGAAAAAACATAGGGAATAAGGCAGAAAGCTCATGAGGGTACAAAAATGATTTTTTCGTAATCCATACCTTACAACTCTCCAGAATAAGAATTACTAGTAATTAAAGGAAAGATTTTAGGGAAGAAAGGCAAAAATGAATTTTCCAAATGAAATGGAAAATCCCATGTGATTCAAAAAGAGGATTAAACCATCTACTGCCAGACAGATCTCAAAGATAAATACTTTCATAGTGGAATACTAAGCTACATAATTCTTGATGCTGGATCAGTTATTTCTCAAAATACAAGTTCCTGTCATCTTCAGCACTTCCCATTTGCCATCACATCCATCCCATCTTTAGACATCCTCATATCAAAATGGTTAATTTCATAGCCTTTGTTTTTACTGCCCTTTCTAAAACATTACTGTTTCACTTTAGGTTTGTTGTTCAGGCCACTGTGTTTTTTTCTCTAGTTTCAAAATCTCTCTTTTATTCTCACCTTGGTATGTTTACATCTTCCCTTCTAACCCTCTCACAGCCTCCTACTGCTGTACAAAGCACTCATCCCACCCTGCTATGTCGTATGCCAGCCCTCCTTATCCTCCCCTCTGAACTGCAGTCTTCAAAAGGAAGCTAATGTCACATTTAAACTTTAATACTTAAGCACCTCTTCCTTTACTTCAGTCTTCTTTTAATTTAGAATTATGTGTACTTAATGGTGGGTTTGAGTGTAAAGCATTAGTTCAGTTAATAGCATCAGTGATCTATGGGCTGCAGTGGAAAGGGAACTCACAGGATTGAGTGCGAGAATTTCATACTGTGTTTGATCAACTCCTTTCCTATTTTTGAAAAATCTTTTAAATATTTTAGTGCAATTATTTTATTGTTAATATAATGATCCCAGATGTTGTATGTATAGCAGATAGTTTGTATCCTTGCATATTCACACATACAATAAAGAAAAAAAAGGACTGACATGCAGCTAGACAGTATTACATGTGCCTGACAGAGACGACTGCACCCACAGTCCATATGCAGTGCTGGCACAATTGTGTCTATTTAGCAGATAAGTCTCACTTTCCTCCTCTTCTTTCTTCCAGATTTTGCTGGCAGAGGTTCAGTAATTGCACACATGATAACAAGAGTATCACCAAACTTTAATATCACTGAATTTAGAAGATGTGTTTATTGCTGCTATAAGAGGTGTATCAGTGTGTGCCTAAGCAGCAAGAGAGCACTGCAACTAGCATGCTGTTGTTTCATCTGTGTGAAGCCAACTTTGTTACCAGAACTGTTCTTTCCTTTAAAGATCATCATCAGCCAACTCCTGAAAATCCCTAGGTAGAAACAGCTGAGGAGGGGAATGAGGCTCCTTCATATTGCCACAGGAAAGGGCAGAAGATTCATCCAGCTCAAGACAGAATGACACAAGCCTCTTCAGGGAGAAGAGATTAGAAGAAAATCTGTCCACTTATTTAGCTCTTTGCACCCAGTTTTTCTAAGTTTGATCATTTATTTAACTGTATTTAAACAGACATTCAAGGGCACTGACTTTGCCAAGGTCTATACCCGGCAAGCTAGTGCCTTACTGAGAGCTGTCAGTATCACAGAATCAGCTAAATGTTTTTTTCCACAATTTCAATCAACTCATAGAACAAATCTGTGGTAAAAAATATCTCCTGAGGAAGACAAGTACCGACACTGGTCACTTCTGGGGAAGCCACTGGTTAGTAGACAGCTTTATCAGGAGAAAAAAAAACAAAACGCTTCAACAGGGTATCCTAGGCCATATAAAAAACAACCTGGAAGGACTACCAATATATGTATGTTGTAAGTAAAACAAAATTTCAAACCCACAATTACTTTGGTGCTTTTTGTCTTGCTATTTGTTTGTTTTTGTTTTGTCTTGTTTTGTTTTAGCAGATGTTAAAGCATTAGAAAGATGCAAACAGCTTCAAAGAGATGTACCAGCTTGATTTCTTTCTACTTCGCAGCACACACAGCATACGCTCAAGAAGGCAGAAACCCAGAACCCTCACACTACCCTTTAACATCTTTCCTAAGTAAGCAACAGCACAGCACAACACCAGAAGCTCCACAAGAAACTCCAGCATTCTTGGAAAATATGCATTCACTTGCATTACTACTGAATCCTGTAAAAGCTCTTGCTCCATTGCTTCCCAGTCCATATTGCAACGTTAGAGCAAAGAACAGCCTTTTTTAGTGTGCAGACCAACTGGAAGGCCAGCTAAATCCTGGGCTGCAGTAAAAAAGGAGTGGCCAGCAGGGGAAGGGATGTGATTCTCCCTCTCTACTCAGCTCCTGTGAGGCCTCATCTGCAGTACTGCGTCCAGACATGGGGCCCCCAGCACAAGAAGGATGTGGAGCTCGTGGAGTGGGTTCAGAGGAGGGCCACTAAGATGATCAGAGGGCTGGAGCACCTCTCCTATGAGGATGGGTTGAGGAAACTGGGCTTGTTTAGCTTGGAGAAGAGAAGGCTCCAAGAGGGGGAGACCTCATTGTGGCCTTCCAGTACTTGAAGGAAGCGTTGAAGCAGGAGGGGGATCAGCTGTTGACAAGGGTGGATAGTGATAGGACAAGGGAGAATGGTCTTAAACTGAGAGGTTTAGGTTAGATATTAGGAGGAAGATTTTCACACAGAGGATGGTGATGCACTGGAACAGGTTGCCCGAGGAGGTTGTGGATGCCCCATCCCTGAAGGCATTCAAGGCCAGGTTGGACGTGGCTTTGGGCAGCCTAGTCTAGTGGTTGACGATCCTGCATATAGCAGGGCGGCTGAAACTAGATGATCTTTGAGGTTCTTTTCAACCCAGGCCATTCATGATTCTATGATTCTATGAGTATCCCAAGTTGGAAGGGACCCACAAGGATCATCAAGTCCAACCCCTCACTCCACAACAGACCACCCAAATGCAGACAGTCCTCCAGCTGCAGCAGCTCGGGGCCG